GGGAGGGAGAGAATCCCAAGCAGGTTCCGCTCTGTTAGTGCAGAGCCAGACGAGGAGCTCAATCCCACAACCGCTAGTTCATGACCTGAGCCAAAATCAAGAGTCAGGCACTTAACTGACTGAGCCACCCAGGCGCTCTGCGAACTTTGGTTTTCATATCTATGGCCCTCCACCTATTTCTCTGCCAGTTAGGGATATAGGAGTCTGGTCTTCGGGTCAAACGAAATAATATATGCAGAAGTTCCTTATAAACAATAAAATAGGGTAGGTTACTGTTGTCACTTTCATTTGTATGTTTCAGTTATAAAAACCTTTAACCTAAAGTCAGGGGAATGAAGGTAGCTATTTTTGGAATCCTCATACATTTTCAGAGTATTGTTATAGTGTTGGAGGCAGCAAAGCTTTAAAAATATTCCTGTGTTCCCCAGTTATAAAATAATTTTCCAACGTATCAACCCCATCTGTATAAATACCATACACAAGCAAGACCTGTTATTAACATGCTCATGTATTTTGATATATATGTGTGCTAGGGTATGTGTGTATCTTTTTTTTTTAAATCTGGAATCGGGGCGCCTGGGTGGTTCAGTCAATTGAGTGTCTGACTCTTGATTTTGGCTCAGGTCATGTGCTGGGGATTGTGGGATCTACCTCTGTGCTGCTTAAGATTCTCTCTCTCTCCCCCCTCGTGCTCTCTCTCAAAAAAAAAAAGGAAAATTCGGAATCACAAAATTATATATCCTGCTTTCACTTAATATTATAAATGTTTTTATCTTTCATTAAATGCTTTTCAGAGATATTTTAATAGCTGTGCAATATCCCATTATGTAAACACTCCATGATTTCTTTTACCAATTCTCAGTCACTAGATACTTTTTATTTCCAGTTTATTGAGGCATAATGCTAAGATCAGTGCTCACATACATATCTGTCTGCTGTAGGAATTTTTGGAAGAAATTCTGTCAAGGAAACAAATCCCAGAAAAGGAAGAGAAAGTTTAAGAGGTTGAAAGAAACCAGTACTGGAGCAGAAGCAGTAAAAGAGCAAACCCCAAACCCATTTATGTAAATAGCCTCTTGTCCTCAATGGCGGTTTGCACTTCTTCCCAATCAAGTATTGGAATCAGATAACTAGAAACCTGAGACCTCCAGTAGTCTCATTAAGTGTCATGAATTATGCTTTGGTTCTGGGTAGTAGCTGTTTGATTAGTATGTTAGACTACTGGTTATATACCTCAGCTTATGGCTGTGTCACCTTAGGCAAATTACTAAGTGTGGCTAGACTGAAAAATAGAGATAATCATAGCGTCTACTTGACAGGGTTGTTAGTGAGATGAAACGATATAGTTCATGAAAGCACTTACTATGATCTGTGGTACATAATGAGGAGTTAAATCGTATTTCTCGTGTACATATTTATCTTTCTTGGAGTGTAAGGTTTTCATTGTGCAGAAAGGCTCCCTGGCTTCTCAGGAAAATGACTGTAGTTCCGTGATAGTAAATGAGCCTCCACTGTGGGTGTGCCATTTGTTACCAGGGACCAAATGTTAACATCCATGAATGATTTCTATTCTCTTCAGACCTGAGGCATATACCCTAAAAGTACCCTTCTTCCTCTGTTCTGACGAGCTTTCCTGAGAGAAAACAAATTGGAGTTCAAAGGAAATAAACCTTTTTTTAAGAAAGGTCTTTGCTTTTCAAATGTAGTATTTTTGAAACTTAGTCCTCCCGTTTTCAAATAGCCATAACATTAATAAAGTGATTTATAATCTTACTATTTAAAATGGTAGCTTTTTAAAATTTTCACCTTCTTTTCTTTAAAAGAGCTGCTGCAACCATTGACAGCTTGGCAAGTCGCATCGAGGACCCTCAGATACAGGCTCACTGGTCGAATATTAATGATGTTTATGAATCTAGTGTGAAGGTTTTAATCACATCACAAGGTTATGAACAGATATGCAAGTAAGTGTCAAAAATAAGTTGTTCGTTTCAAACGTTAAGTTGCTTTTTATATATTGATGTTTGTTGCATGATTATATCGAGATTTGGGGTTTTATTTGCTGCGGTGCCATAGCATTCCAGTAAATTCTATCAACTGTAGAGGTTTTGTGCAAATGAGAAGTAAGAATGTTTGAAATAGTCTCCGTAAGGTAAATGTCACATATTTGAGTTGTGGCAAAAAATGAACCTCATCATTGAGCGGCCACACCTTACACTCTGGTCCGCTTCAGTTCTTGCTCAAGGTGGTGGCGAGTCTGGGGTATTTGAAGTGAGCAAGGCCGTTTGTATTAGAGCCTATACTCTCCATATTGTGCCTAAAACAGCCTAAGTTTTGTAGCTCTCCTGGCGGGGGAGATTAGAGGATTAAACCTGTGTCTAATCCAGTTCATGATTATGCCCTTAAAATGGGACTGAGAGCTGTGTCTGTAAAGGGGGTGAAATGACTTTTGTCCCGACCATTCACAGAGAAGCACTCTCCTTCACTTACATTCACAAATCACGGGCTAAGATACACGGGACAAATTGGTGGTTGCCAGAGGTTGGGAAGCGGGGTGGGCAAAAGGTACAAACTTTCATTTGTAAAAGTTCTGGGATCTAATGTACACCATGGTGACTATAGTTAATAATACTGTGTTGTATATTTGAAAAGTAGCTAAGAGTAGATCTTGAAAGGTCTTATCACAGGAACAAAAATGGGCAGCTTATGAGGTGATGGGTGTTAACATACTACGATGATCATTTCATAAAATATATACACTTATTACATCATCATGTTCTACATACACCTTAAACCAATCAACGATGTGTGTCAATTATATTTCAATAAAGCTGGGGAGAATAAACCAAGTTAATAAAATTAAGCTTGTAGCCACGGAAGGCATTTTGGCCTCCGTTTGAGCCTCTTTTGAAATTTAACAACTGGGGTTCCTGGGTGGTTCAGTCAGTTAAGCGACTAACTCTTGATTTCAGTCCAAGTCATGATTCCAGGGTTATGGGATCGAGCCCCATGTCAGGCTCTGCACTGGGTGTGGAGTCTGCTGGGTATTCTCTCTCTTCCCCGCCCCCCCCCCCCGGCCCCTCTCCTGCTTGTACTCTCTCTCAAATAAAATATTAAAAACTAAAATTAACAACTGACAGGATATAGTTAAGTCCCCTTCCCCAGGTCAGTCTGAGAGAGCCATTAGCAAACATTTATCAATGTCAGTGAGTACCTTTTCTTTTTCAAGTTTTAGTTGCTTTATTTCAGGCAGACCTAACTAGCCACTGTGCTCTCTCCGTTGAGCAAAACACACTGAAAACAAAATCACCACCCTCAGGAGTAGGAGAGTATAATACCCTTAAATTGTTGTTTGTTTGTTTGTTTATTTATTTATTTATTTATTTAATGTTTGTTTATTTTTGAGACAAAGACAGAGCGTGAGCAGGGGAGGGACAGAGAGAGAGGGAGACACAGAATCCAAAACAGGCTCCAGGCTATGAGCTGTCAGCACAGAGCCCATTGTGGGGCTCGAACCCATGAACTGTGAGATCATGACCTGAGCCGAAGTCGGACGCTTAACCGACTGAGCCACCCAGGCGCCCCTTAAATTGTTATTTTTAAAAATTTTTTTTTAATGTTTTATTTATTTTTGACAGAGAGAGAGAGACAGAGCATGAGCGGGGGAGGGTCAGAGAGAGAGGGAGACACAGAATCCAAAGCAGGCTCCAGGCTCTGAGCCATCAACACAGAGCCCGATGTGGGGCTCGAACTCACGGACCGCGAGATCATGACCTGAGCCGAAGTTGGACGCTCAACCAGCTGAGCCACCCAGGCGCCCCAATTGTTATTTTGTTAATATAGAGACTTTAATTGACTATTTTTCAAAAATGAAAAATCGCTAGGGAGCATGATGTAAAAGATCGGATATAGAAGATAAAGGAATACACAGTGGAAATCAGTCTTGCAACTTCCAGGAAAAGATGGTGGGGTGAAGGTGGATCATGGTTTTCTTCCCCTATACTATAGAGAAATAAGGAAATAATTGAGGTGATTTGGAGTGTGGTGGGAGAGTAGCCGTTGAATAAGGTAAAACAAGTTTGGCATGCATTTTAACTGTTACGGCTAGGTGATGGGGCCATTGGCTTTCATTGTATTTCATTGCATTACTTTCGTATATGTTACTATATATGCAAAATCTGCTATGTACTTTTGCTTAAAATTTTCCACCATAAAACATTACGAGAAAGAGTACAAAGGAGTGGAAAAGAAAAAAAATTGTCAGCATTGAGTTATTTACGTTTACAAGACCAAACAAATGTGAGATTATGGTTTCAGGGCCCGGGGTAAAAGTTCTAAACTTCTGAGAAGAAGGGTTGTTGACAATGTATCCATGACAGCATCAAGAGGGAAAGGAAGTAGTAGAATGTCCTTTTCCTCATCTTTTATAGCTGGGGTCAACTTAGGTTATTTAAAGTTGAAAGTAATTCTCTTAGGACTTCCCAGAAGCATCTAAAAAGTTTCTACACATCCATCTAGGAAAGTCTGTGCATTTACAAGCATATATATCCTACTTTTTTCCTACAATATTGTGTGCTTTTAATTTTTTTTTTTTTCAACGTTTTTAATTTTATTTTTGGGACAGAGAGAGACAGAGCATGAACGGGGGAGGGGCAGAGAGAGAGGGAGACACAGAATCGGAAACAGGCTCCAGGCTCCGAGCCATCAGCCCAGAGCCTGACGCGGGGCTCGAACTCACGGACCGCGAGATCGTGACCTGGCTGAAGTCGGACGCTTAACCGACTGCGCCACCCAGGCGCCCCTGTGTGCTTTTAAAATATTGAGACGTAATTCACATAAAACATTTACTATTTTAGAGTGTACATTTCAGTGGATTTTAGTATATTATTTATGTTGTATATCATCACTAATTCTAGAACATTTTCCATTATCTCAAAAAGAAACCCTATACCTGTCAGCAGTCATTCCCAATTTGCGTGTTTTTTTAAATATTATATTGGTGAATTACATTATGTTATATTGGTGAATAAGCATTCCTTACCACTACATACAGGTTTACTTCATTCTTTTTACAGCTTCATTGTGTTCATTGTATGTACCAGGACTTTTAATCAGCCTTCTGTTGATGAACATTTTATTGTATTTTTAAATATTTATTCATTTTTGAGAGAGCGCAGGTGGGGAAAGGGCAGAGAGAGGGGGATAGAGGATCCTAAGTGAGCTCTGCACTGACAGCAGTGAGCCTGGTGTGGAACTCAAACTCAGAGCCACAAGATCATGACTTGAGCCGAAGTCTGACGCTCAACTGACTGAGCCACCCAGGTGCCCCCTGATGAACATTTTAGTTGGATGCCAGCCGGGTAACTTGTACACGTGCAAGTACATCCGTAGGCAAGTATATCCGTAGGATAAAGCCCTCCAGGTGTAATTGCTGGGTCAGAAGATAAGGACATTTGAACTTTGTGTTAATGTTACCGAATTGCTTTTCAAAGCGCTTGCCACAACTATGCTTCTACCAATAGTAATCATAATTTTTTTTAAGTTTATTTATTTTGAGAGAGAGAGAGCATGCACAAGTGGAGAAGGATCAGAAAGAGGAGGAGAGAGAATCTCAAGCAGGCCCTGCACTGACAGCGTGGATCCCGACACAGGGCTCAAACTCACAAACTGTGAGTCGAGCCAAAATCAATAATCACTTAACTGACTGAGCCACTCAGGCGGGTGCCCCAGTACTTAGGCTTTTTACCATTTGGTTAAGTTTGTAAGTTTTTCCTTTTAAGCCTTCTGAATTTTGTGTTTTTCTTTGAAAGAAACATGTAAACTTTTAATACATCAAAATTACAATTTTACATAGATAACTGACACAATGTTTTATTCCTAAGTGGTCACTGTAAAGTCAAGTCTAAAAAAAGAGGTATTTTCAAATGTGAGGAGATATAATGCTATTTTATCCTATGGTTCATCTAGATGGTTTGATTTGGAGAATTTCATATTTCTCGTAGATGTTGTATGCTAGTGCTAAAAATTTGTAAATTGGTTTGGAAGAAGGTCGTTATCTGCATGTTGTTTTATGAGTTTCCTTATTTGACCTAAGCCAAGTTAATAGAGTATATATTTTGACTTGTTTGCCGATTATTTCAGGAGAGGGTGTGGAGTTAATAAAAGCTTTTCCCTTTCCGTATGAGAATTTGATCTTCGGTTAACTCTTTAGCTATAGTCCCCTAGTAACCTGCTAAGAAAAGATGCCACCTGTGTTACTAGGCAGCATTGCTTTTGGCAAAAATGATCCCAAACTGGTAAAGTGGATCTGGACTGGAAGGAATTATAAACACCTGATGGAGGTGCCTTTGGCTTTTCCCAGATGGAGTGACTTCTCAAACTGGGCAGTATCTCCTGGGGGGGGGACTGTGGAGACCATGTCTATGGAGTTGTCATGAGGACATGTGGCTCTTATACGGAATGAGGTTTCTAAGTCGGGGCAGGTCCCCCACATGCCCAGTGTAGATCTCATCTCAGTGCAGCAAAGGTGTGCAGATTGTCAGAGCAGAGTGGCAGTGGGTGTTGGCCGGCTGGCAAGCTGGGCTTCCTCTCCTGCATCCTTCTGCGCGCATGGGTGACCTAGGGGCATCTGGTGGGAGTCTGACGGTTACCTTGAACCTAAGACAACCCCTCTCTCCCATGGGTGTTGGTATAGGTTATCAAAATTGTTATTTTCGGTTTCTTTGGTGTTAAGGTTTAATGTCTGTGGCATCGTATGAGGTAATTTTGAACATTTCTGATTTTTAGTATATGTGTCTATAAAGGTCCATTCAGCTGCAGTTGAATATCGGAGTTGAGCAGATCCGAGTTGTACACAGGGATGGAAGAGTGATCACACTGTCTCACCAGGAGCAGGAGCTACAGGACTTCCTCCTGTCACAGGTAAGAGTTATAGACCGCAAGTCTGGGGCCTCTTGCCCTTGTTACTGCTTAAAGAACAAAATGAGTAAGGAAGGGTTAAGGTATATTATAAAAAGAAAGCTATTTTTGTCCACCATCTTGCTTAATTTCTAGTGCACATTTTACAACTTAATGACTAATTGTGGAACTTTGATAAATTGTCCTAGATATATTTCCAGTTAGTTTGTGGTTAAGATGAAGGAGCAGCTCGGAGACTGTAAACTTCGGATTTCTCACGTTTGCCTGGGTTTACAGCCCCTTTGGGTCCACACAAAAGTGGAGAATTACCCCAGAAAACCAGAGGAGAGATCAGATACAAAACTCTAGCGACCCTCCATGATAATAAGTGGGATATTTTACTTAAGCCCTCAGATATAGTTCTTCCGTGTTAAGGAGCAGCATGGAAAGTGCTGGGTTCTAGTCCCAGGTCCACCACAAATTTGCTTTGTGACGCCAGACAAATTTCTGGACCTTCCTTTCCTCTTCTGTAAAGTTAAGAATAGTATTTCTCCTGTGTTCTTCATGGAGTTATGATCCAGTGAAAAATTGACTTGTGGGAGGAAGGGTAGGTTTAGAGAAGCTAATACGCTTTTCACAATATACACATTTATATTTCACATAAAGCTGAAAAAAACATGCTCCATCCCAGAAGCAATAATCTTCTATACTGGCTTCTTTCTTTGGTGCCAAGTAAATAAAATGCATTTGTGAGATACGGCAGTTCTTGGTTGATTACACTTAAACTGACTTTCGTGTCACACGCACGCACGCACGCACGCACACAGAACTATATTGGGAGGCTGTCGGGTAGCTCCGAGAACCGACGGAAAGTCCAGAGAACAAGGCTGGCAGGTGGCGGAGACCAAAGGAAGCTGCCCCGTCAGAAGCACAGCCAGGACAGCGGCGGCTGTCAGTTGCCATCCTGACACTCCCACTGCCTTCATCGCTAGTGGCAGAGTGCGCTCTAACTTGCCGCTGTGCATTAGTCAGGATTTTAGTAGAAAATAGGTGGCACTCAGTAATTTTTCTAAGGATTTCCAAAAGTGCGGGTGTAGGAGAACCGCCAGGGAAAGTATGGTAACCTGGTGCCAGTACCAACCAGGTAACCAGGCTGGGGGGTGCTGAGTGGTCACCAGTCCTAAGCCAGACGGATAAGGGGAGGGCTTGTAGGTGCCCTAAAGGGGGAGAGTCATGTGGAACAGGCCACCTTGGAAAAAAACTAGTCGCCTTTCATCACCGGATACAAGCTCACCGGGAAGGGTACCGACCTTGCTTTCCTCTCTCTGTCGCCATCCTCTGGCTCCCATTACCTTGGTTGCTCCCGTTGTCTGAACCCACCCTGAAGCCAAATGATGTAACCATATGGGTCATCCTCTCTGGGTGGAGTAGGGTGGAGAGTGGATTTGCAGGGGTAACTGGAAGATACTCAGCACACCCCGCTGCCTTTGGTACTGCGCCACATTCGGTGATCCAGGTGGGAGTCTTCGGTTGGCCAAGTTTAGGTCACGTGTCTGTGCTCAAGCTGCCATCGGGCAGGGAAGGCGAGCATCAGGCTATTTTAGCCTCTGCGGTGGAAGGTGGGATCCTCCCCCGGTAATCACAGAGGAGGGTTCCTCACACAGAAGATAGGATTCCTGTCTGTGCTCGGCAGCGGACACCCCAACAAAAAGTTCACAGTCGTGATGTCAAGCTACCGCAAAGTAAATATCCATGGCAATGACACATAAAGTTTCCTTTTTCGTTCACAGATGTCACAGCATCAGGTGCATGCAGTTCAGCAGCTCGCCAAGGTTATGGGCTGGCAAGTGCTAAGCTTCAGTAATCACGTGGGCCTTGGACCCATAGAGAGCATTGGCAATGCCTCTGCCATAACGGTGGCCTCCCCGAGTGGTGACTATGCTATCTCAGGTACTGGCTGCTGTTTGGAATGTGAAGAGGCCTTTGGGAGTTTGGTCTTAACATTTACCTGTAATAGACATACTTGGGAGTCATTTATCTCTGCAGTGAGTTCATATAGCAGTTATGCTGAGCTTTTATCTGATCATAGCTATTATTCAGAGCAACAAATTATTCTCTTCTAGTGGTCTTAAAAATGTTTTGCTTGGTGACACATTTTCCTAAGAGATCTGAAAACTGCCATCAGCATCGTTACTCCTAAAGTTCAAAACCTTTGATGGATAAGTGCTTTTTGAAAATGTACTGCAAATTGGCAAGAGTAATATCGGATCCTAAGGACATGACGGGATGGAACAGAGAGGAGAGGTGTTTTTGGAGTACTTGCGGCTTTAGTGTAGTCTTTTCTTTGCTTCTTTCTTTCTTTCTTTCTTTTTTTTTTTACCGTTTATTTTTGAGAGGCAGAGAGAGACAGAGCACAAGCAGGGGAGGGGCAGAGAGAGGGAGATACAGAATCTGAAGCAGGGTCCAGGCTCTGGGCTATCAGAACAGAGCCTGACGTGGGACTCAAACTCACAAACTGCGAGATCATGACTTGAGCCGAAGTCGGACACTTACCTGACTGAGCCACCCAGGCGCCCCTAGTGTGGTCTTTACTAATACCTGTTCTAAATATTTGAAAGAGTGAGCAATTAGAAATTTTTCCCCCAGAACCATGGTCTGAATCTGTAGGCTTGGTCATTTGCTCGATCTTTATTGATAAGAGTTTCAAAATACCCATTTCTTCTTCGCTGAGTAATTGAAGCCTCATTAAAACCTGAAGTTCGTAATTCAGAATAATCCTGCCTTCTCCCTCCCAGTCCTGATTCTGAACATTTGAGTTTCCTTCTATATTAGATGTGTATCAAGTGTTTTAGAAAAAAATAAATTGGTCTTCTGAAAATATACAGGACATATGACTTTCCTAAGCCAGAATTCATCTTGCCACATTTTTATGATACAAACAGTAATTCGTGAATATTTATACCAGCCTAGTATATATAAATCAGCAAGGTTTGTTTGGTTTTTTGCATATGAAAACGGACCAGCGCTTTTAAACAAGAGCTTTTAAGTGCATATGCAGAAGAGGTTTTTGTATTCGTGGTAGAATGGAGTTGTGGGACGCTTCCTTGTTTTCTAGTTTGGAAATTGACCATACTGATATTTTGGTTTGGCTCCGCAGTTCGCAATGGCCCTGAAAGTGGCAGCAAGATCATGGTTCAGTTTCCCCGGAACCAGTGTAAAGACCTTCCGAAGAGTGATGTTTTACAGGATAGCAAATGGAATCATCTTCGTGGTCCGTTCAGAGAAGTTCAGTGGAATAAGATGGAAGGTCGAAACTTTGTCTATAAAATGGAGCTGCTTATGTCTGCGCTCAGCCCTTGCCTGCTATGATCCTTGTTTCCAGCACGGTCTCTGGATTGTTTTTTGGCAGAGAAGTTTCCAGAAACGGACTTGAGAAGATGAACCATTAAGCACAAGGAAGAGAAATTTTCCAAAGGAGTATTGTTTTAAAAAAATAATTAGCAGATGTTTACCTAGCATTTTGAAACCTTTCACTTTATAAGTGACGAGTGCTTTGAAATGCAGAAGCTTATGTACAGTTATAGGGTATATAGTATAGGGAGATGCAAAACCACCTTTTTTATGCAGTTAACTTGAAATGTTACTAATTTATGGGTTTGAATTAACTTTTTAAAATATTCCTTTGATGTTGACATCAAATAAAGCATATGGTTAAAAATTCCAGATACTCGTTGAACTCTTAACAACCTAAATGAATGGTCTTTTTTTTTTTTTTAAAAAGAGCACTGATGATTTTAAAGTTTATTTATTGAGAGAGAAGAGAGCAGAGGAGGGGCAGAGAGAGGAGAGAGAAAATCCCAAGCAGGCTCTGTACTGTCATCGTGGAACCTGTCCCTGGGCTTGAGGTCACAAACCGAGAGATCATAACCTGAGCCAAAACCAAGAGTCAGTTGGTTGCTTAACCGACTGAGCCACCTAGGCACCCCCAAATGAATTATGTCTTTTATCAACTCATCTCATTCTCCTATTCGTTAAAAAGATTGCTTAAGAATATACAAACGCTCTTACGACCCAGCTTTCGTACAGAGCGTGCTCACAGTGAAAGAAGACCTCTTCCCCTGAACTGGAAGGATCTACATGCTGGCAGGAAGATCCTCTCCCCCTTTCGTAGCAGAGCTATTAAAGCTACGCTTGTCTTGGCAAATCGACTTCCTCTTCCTCCAGTTGTCTTTATGTAATCTGGGTCCTCTGAGGGCATCCTAGAAAGTGCTCAGCTGAAGGCACAGAGGGCAGAGTGTATTTTTAGGGTTTTCTCAGGTCCCTTTTTTGTCTCTTCCGCCACTTGAATGACCTCTGTCCCTTAAGACGGCAAGTGCTCACACCCCGCCCCGCCTGCCCCTGCAATTCTGCAGCCTCCACCCAACAGCTCTGGATTCCTTCTTTCAGTGAAAGTATTGTCCTGTCTCACTCCATAAAGCGCTCTTTCTCCAGGGAAAAATACGAATGGATCTGTGGATTACATTTTACAAATAACATATTTAAACTTTCTGGAAATAGTGCCCCAATCCTAAAATGCACCTGAGTTACTTCCCTTAATAAGAGACTTAGGTTTATATGGGTCTTTTGGAACAATTATAAATAATACATAGGGAGTGTATTCCTTATGAGAAAGGCTTTCAATTTTTTAAAGATACCCTTTTAATAAGCTATGACTAAAATCACTTCATAAGGTTTATATTTCTCCTTTTTTCTTTTAAAAGAAAAATGGAACTTGTAAGCCGCAAAGTACCATAACATCTCTGCGTGTGTTTGCTTGTTTTCCCCTCCTGATCGAGATGCTGCATCTTTCTATCCATGGAAATTCTAAGAAACTGTTATGACTCTACAATTATAAAGCTTTATAAAAAATAAATCTCTTCATGGTGGCCCACAAAAGTTGCCTTAGCTAATTATCCTAAGCTAATTCATACAGATCTACTCACATGTGGAGTCTTCTGTAATTTTGAAGGCTCATACTCAAAAGGACTTTTGCCAGGAGACTTCGTTTTGGTGGGGGTTTTGTTTTTTGTTTAATTTCCATCCACTGCAAATTGATAATTTGGTAAATATAAAAATGAGTTATTAGAAGAGTTACAGTTTAAAGAGATCCAGAATAAAAGCCCCCCTCTTATTATAATAGACATAAAATGGCTATCAGCTAGAAAAAACGAATGCTTTGTTGTGTAGGATTATCTGGTCAGGAGCCAGTGCCACGACCACACTGAGTGGAGCGGAGAGCCCAAGGTGTAACCCCGGGCTCTCTTAAGCTTCATCCGAGGACAGTGGAGCAACCGCACGCTGCCACGATCTTCATCGCTGGGGAGTGAAGAGCCATTACCCGCTACTTAGAAAACAGTGGAAAAGGAAGGAGAGGCAGGGGGAAGATGGCAGCTCGGCCACTGGGCCAGCAACTCGTGTGCCTTGTGTTGATTCACATTCTCCAGCTTAATTAGTGTTGCAACCTGGATGACCCGGCAATGGAAGAATATACCGTGAAAGTTGGGAGGCCAGCGGGAGCAAACCAGTTAGTCCCTAACCGTGTGTTTTTAACGGGCTGGCAAAAGAGCTGGGTTCTGATGTCGGTTCTACCCCTGCTTAGCTGTCTCCGTTTGGCAACGTTACCCCGGCTGCACCCGGTCCCTTACGTGTTAAAACAAGGACAAGAATGCCCCTGCTCACCTCAGTGGTGGTTCAAAGGTCTCAGTATGGTTGGTAATGGATGTGAAGTTCTAAAGGGCTGGCAGATAGAAAACATTAAGTGACTGTTCTCGGAAAGTCCAGCGTTTTAGAAGTCAGTCAGTGGTTAAGACGCCGGCTTTATTTGTATTTATCGGTAGGAGAAAGCATTTTAGAATGTCCTGTTTTGCTCAAATTTACAGGTGATAAAGACAGCGAGTGCATCTGCGGCCATGAAGATTTTTGGTTTTTTCCAGTTCATTTTGAAAGCCATGCTCTGTGGTCAATTTCTTGACATACCTTGGTTCACTTCTACTTCGTACTCCAGTTCTTCGTTGCCTTGGGACTAAAATCTCTGACTCTCACTTCAGGGTGGGAACTGACGTTGACAGGCAGTTCACAGCTGAGAAACCCTGTGTCTGAAATAGCAAGTGCCAAGTGCTACGCGAACTTTGTGACTGGAGCTTTGTCTTCGTTCTCAAGTTTGCTGTTTCCTATTTACAAGTCTACCTCTAGAAATTCATCCTCTAGGCATACTTCGCAAAGGACAGAGTCACAGAGATCACCGTCTGCAAACTGAAAAATTGAGACCGATCTAAATACCCAAAAAAGGAAATGGCCTAAATTATGGTAAAGGAGCCCGAAATAACTGGTGCTTATTTGTACTTCTTTAAAAGTTGAGCTCACCACATGGCCAACGTGTTTTTCTGCTCCCAATATTCTGGCTCCCCTTGATGTGGAACCAGGAAAACTTCCGTGTTATACTTTATTTCTCTTCCTATTTACTGATTGTGAAACATTTGTTGTAGAACAACAATATTTGTTGTTGTAGAACCCTATATTTGGCTTGAAGTGATAGATGAGAGAGAAGTTTGAGATATAAAAGCACACGTGCAACAGGATAGAGAGCCTAGAAATAAACCCATAGCTACATGGTCAGTTAATCTAGGACAAAGGTGGCAGGAATATGCAATGGGAAAAAGTCTCTTCAACAAATCGTGTTGGGAAAACTGGACAGCTACATGCAGAAGAATGAAATTGGACCGCTTTCTTTCACCATACACAAAATTAACTCAAATGGGTTAAAGATGTAAATATGAGACCTGAAACCATAAAACTCCTAAAAGAAAACATAGATAGTAATCTCTTGGATGTCGGCCTTAGCAAATATTTAAGGATATGTCTCAAGGGAAACAAAAGCAAAAATAAACTACTGAGACTTCGTCAAAATAAAAAGCTTCTGCACAGCAAAGGAAACTATCAACAAAACCAAAATGCAACCTGTTAAAGATATGTGCAAATGATATAGCCAAAAGGGGTTAAAATCCAAAATATATAAAGAGCTGATAAAGCTCCACACCAAAAAAAAAAAAAAAAAAAAAAAAAAAAAAAAAAAAGCAACAACCTGATTTAAAAATGGGCAGAGGAACTTAATAGCTATTTTCTCAAAGAAGATATACAGATGGATAACAGACTTATGAAAAGATACTCAGCATCAGGAAAATGCAAATCAAAACCACAATGAGATGCCACCTCACACCTGGCAGAATGCCTAGTATCAAAAAGACAAGAAATAACCATGTTGGTGAGGATGTAGGGGAATGCAAACTCATGCAATCACACTGGAAGACGGTGTGGAAGTTCCCCCCAAAATTACAAACAGAAATACCTGTGATCCACTATTTCCACTGCTGGATATTTACCCAAAGAAAATGAAACGATATGGACCTCCTGTGTTTATTGCAGCATGATTTACAATAGCCAAGGTATAGAGGCAACCCAAGTTTTCATCAATAGATGAATGGATAAAGAAGAGTGGTGTGTGTGTGTGTGTGTGTGTGTGTGTGTGTGTGTACTTCTATATATGTGTATACACCTATTATGCTAAGTGAAACAAGTCAGAGAAATACCATAGGATTTCACTCATACGTGGAATCGAAACACAAAAGAAGAAACGGAAACAGACTGGAATACAGAGAACAAACTGGTGGTTGCCAGAGGGAGGTGGGTGGGGGAATGGGTGAAATTGATAAAGGGGATTAAGAGGTACAAACTTCAAATTATGAAATAAGTCACAGAGATTAAAAGTACAGCGCAAGAAATACAGTCAATATTGTAATAACGTTACACGGTGACAGATGGTATCTAACATGGTGAGACCTGAAACTACCATAACATTGCGTGTGGATCATACTTCAATTAAAACAGAAACCAAAGTGGGGCGCCTGGGTGGCTCAGTCGGTTAAGCGTCCGACTTCGGCTCAGGTCATGATTTCATGGTTCGTGAGTTTGAGCCCCGCGTTGGGCTCTGTGCTGCCAGCTCAGAGCCTGGAGCCCGTTTCAGATTCTGTGTCTCCCTCTCTCTCTGCCCCTCCCCTGTTCATGCTCTGTCTCTCTCTGTCTCAAAAATAAACATTAAAAAAAAAAAAAAACAAAAACAGAAACCAAAGCTTTCTGAGGTTAAAAATGTACATTTCTCTTAGTAGAGTCTTGGCTGTATTTATTCATGTAATTTAAGATTAACCCGCCCCCCCCCAAAAGTAACATACAATCTGCAAAACTTCCCAATAATTTAGTTGAAGCCAGTGATGTGTCTCTTACCTAAATCTACTCACAGCTTTTCTTTTGACGCACTTGACAAATGTTCCCAGTCCAAGCCCCTTGGGACCCAAAAGGCAGTAATAGAGAACTGTGATCTGTGTTTAGTATTTGAAAAAGCCTAAAGGCGATCACACATTTACCCAACAAAACTTCACCATCAGATTTCTTTGCCAGAACACTATCAAATCAAAGTGATACCAATGATTTCGTTTTGACCAGGAATCCTAATTGACACTTTAGTATTTGTGATTAATAAAAACAGGAAAATAAATAATTGTTTAATAAATTCATTTTGTTTGGCAAGAAAAGAAATCGTTCAAACCATGAAGTACCTGAAGGAAAAATACTTTTAACATTTTTAGGGTCAGAACTGCCCAAAACAAACCCTGGTCTGTTGCATCAAAGGAATGTAACCTACCTGTTTCCACTTTATAAGGTGACATCTAAAGCTGAAACTTTAGGGGTGCCTGGGTGGCTCAGTCAGTTGAGTGTCTGACTTCAGCTCAGGTCATGATCTCGCGGTCTGTGAGTTCAAGCCCTGCGTTGGGCTCTGTGCTGATAGCTCAGAGCCTGGAGCCTGTTTCAGATTCTGTGTCTCCCTGTCTCTCTGCCCCTCCCCTGCTCATGCTCTGTCTCTCTCTCTCTGTCAAAAATAAACACACACAAAAAATTTTAAAGCCGAAACTTTGGATTTCTTTTACATGAACAATACTCTGTCTCCCTCCTCCAAATAGTCCCTAAGAAGCTTTACAATAAAACCCACCAGGGGCGCCTGGGTGGCTCAGTCGGTTAAGCGTCCGACTTCAGCTCAGGTCACGATCTCGCGATCTCACAGTCCCTGAGTTTGAGCCCTGCGTCGGGCTCTGGGCTGATGGCTCAGAGCCTGGAGCCTGCTTCCGATTCTGTGTCTCCCTCTCTCTCTGCTCCTCCCCCATTCATGGTCTGTCTCTCTGTCTCAAAAATAAATAAACATTAAAAAAAATTAAAAAAAAAAAACAACAAAAAACCCACCAATATTATGAAACAATCACTCTGAAGTCCTGAAAGAGTAAAGGATTCCTAGGGAACAGAGCTGACTGTGTTAGTTAACAAGAAGCAGCCACCTTGGTTGAAGGAACAAGTCTGCCATTGAAAGAAAGATGGCTCAAGATATTTATTTTTGTATATATCATTTGAAATAAAAAGTACCTTCTGAGTGAACAATTGTAATGGATCCATGCTAGGGATTGCACTGTGCAGGCAATAAGAATGAAGTTTAGGAATAAGTAGAGAAACAAAATAATGCCTAAGAAACATTAAGGGAAAACAAGCCAATTGTAGGATAACACATATCACAGAAGCCCATTTGCCTAAAAAGAAAACAGATGGACTATTGGGATGTGTGCATGGAAAGAAAGAGAAAGAGAGAGAGAGAGAGAGAGAGGTGTTCACAGATGCCTATGGCTAGAAGGATACATGCCCAATGTAACTACTCTTCCCTCTGGGGAGTAGGACTTGAGGGAGAATTTTACTTTTTACTTTATATACAGACTTGAGTATCATTTCAATTTTAAAGAAGGATTTCTCACCTTTGCAATGAAACCAAGCCCCAACGCCCACCCGATTTCTAAAAGGCAGTGGAAGTGGTGTCCTGAGCCTCACCACGCGCGGACTGGAAAGGCCGCCACCCCATGAGAAGTTGCGTTGTGGACAGACGCGCCCACAGTGGCCACAGGCCTGGCTCTGCGTCCCTAAACCAGAGGTGCTCGATGCTTCCCTGCAGCGGCCAAAGAAACCCAGGCTGGGATATGAAACCGATGGCAGAGGGAGGGTTCCCCTTGCCCCAGGGTTTGACAGCAGGCTCCTGCTCAGGGCAGGTCTCAGAACTGGCTACCTCCCACTGCGCAGCTCCTCACCTTCCTGTGACTTCTATCTCAAGGGAGCGTGGCGTGCTGTGCGTGCCTCCCACGGGGGCCTCCGCCGTCCTTCCAAACCCGGAACGCGATGAAATGAGAAAGTACGGTGTATACCTTTTTAATTTTCTTAGATCGCAATCTGAGAGGACGTTCTGTAGACAGAGCATGTTACGTTCCGTGCGGCATCTCACGCACTGTTGAACACGGTGGTACAATGGTCACATCTTTATTTCAGCCCTTTCCGGAAGCAGAAAGGACTCTGTTGAATTATGATTAATACTCTGGAAGCAAAAACTTCCAATTAGGCTTCTGGGAGGATGCAGGGCAGAATGACGGGCAGGTGTTTTTCAGAATCACTAAAAAATGTTTACAGTTCCTTGTCATTTAAAAAAGGTGCCAGGCGAGGATGTGGAGAAACAGGAACCCTCTTGCACTGTTGGTGGGAATGCAAATTGGTGCAGCCACTCTGGAAAACAGTGTGGAGGTTCCTCAAAAAATTAAAAATAGACCTACCCTATGACCCAGCAATAGCACTGCTAGGAATTTACCCAAGGGATACAGGAGTACTGATGCATAGGGGCACTTGTACCCCAATGCTTATAGCAGCACTTTCAACAATAGCCAAATTATGGAAAGAGCCTAAATGTCCATCAGCTGATGAATGGATAAAGAAATTGTGGTTTATATACACAATGGAGTACTATGTGGCAATGAGAAAGAATGAA